TAAAATATTCCTCTGCGATTTTTATGTTTCCTAGTCAATTTGAAATGCATGGCATTAGAAAACACGCTTTTGCTGGGACAAGTTAGGAATTTGACGAAATGCGTGTGAATAGATCTTGAAGGTGATTTAAAACTATTAAAAAATAGACATTGAAGCAGTTCAAAACTAAGCATCCTTAAACCCTTTGCGTCAAAAGGAGAGATATTTCTGTCGTTAGATCCTTCATTCAAGGTTCTGCATGTGCCTTTCACTTTAAATATGTATATTTGAAGAAGAAGAACGTTATATGATAGATGCAGTTTTTCTTTATGACTCTGAAGAAAACAAATTTTCTGTACTCTCAAATCATACTTAACTTTCAAACACTTATAATAACTTTCGTGTAATAAGATCAGTGTTCAATGGTGTGTATAAAAATAATACTCAATTACGTTGTCAAAACTCCACAATTTATGAAAATAATTATTATTTTTTAGCCTAAAATTATTATTAGCTTTCTTTCAATGTTAAGTGTGACCAACTATATAACAATTACACTGCACAAAAAGATTAATATTTGATAATAGAGGTCTCACATCATATTTTTAATCAATTTAGTATGAAATATCCCACTTATTTCACATGAGCACTTTTCTACTTATTATATCACTGTAGTGTTACTAGGTTAACTTCCAATTTACAGAAAAGTAAAATGTATATAATTTTTAAATTTAAATTATGAAAATAGTAAAATTAAAAGTTATCTAATATTAGTAGTGTTATTGAACTGTTGGTAATTCAATAGTTCATTCATAAAGTAAAATATATATAATTTTAAAATTCACGAAATTAAAAATTAAAAGTATTAAGATAAGTGATAAAATGTGTAATTTTTTTTCCAACTCGTCATCACAATAAAACTGCCAGTCAATATATTTACATATTCCTAATTATTCCAAAACTCGGATTTAATGTGATAGGTTGGTTAAAAAGTATGAGAAATAAAATAAATTAGGTAAAAAAATTGTAAATAAATTAAATTAAATTTATTTTAGTATATTTATTTATAACTACATGAATTTAATTTATAACAATTTATAAATCAATCTATTTTATAAAATAATAATTATTTTTTAGATACAAATAAAAATAATATAATTTTATTAAAAAATATATTATAAATTAATTTTATTAAAAAATTACTTATTCTAAAAATAAATATAAAAATAAGTTTCTAACATTACTTATTATTATTTTTATTAATAAATCATTAAAAAAATAATTATGAAAATGAAAATAAATTTTTAAAATAAATAAATATCTTTCAAATAATTATATTTAAAATTTAAAAATATTTTTTAAAATATTTTTTAATTAATTATTTTTATATAAATACATTAATAAAAAAAATTATTTTTAGCTATCGATTTTTTTCCGACCAAATTATATCAATTCAAATAACAAGAAAGCCTTGCTAACAATATCATAAATAAAAAGTAGAAAGCAGTCACAAGTTTAAATTAACTTTATTAACCGAATTTTATTTAAAAATTTAATTAAAGATTGATGTTAGAAACTAAATAAGTTCTCTTTAATAATAAAATTAGTTATTAGTTTAATTAGATAGTAATTTGAAGTCTAATTTTTAATAAATGGTTAAAATTTTGATTTTTAATTGTAGTTACCAATGTAAATTATTCAGAAATTAATTTAATTAAAATAATTTATAATATATTTAATATAATGATTAAATATTTATTGTCTCTAAATTAGTTGATAAAAAAATTTGGATGACAATAAATCACATGAATAAAAAATTTGTTACATTAAACTTCATTAAAAGAATATTTAACTTATCATTTTTTTAAATTTATTGAACCAAATTTAGATTTGCAGAGATAATATAGTTATTTAAGTAGTTGGAAGATTTGTTTTTGCATGAAATACTTTAATGTCCAAATAAAAACAAAAATGTGTAAGACAATAGTTAGGGAAGAATAGTGTTCCTAAGAAAGTTGAACTTTTATAGACATTCATTTTTCATCTTAATCGTGTTATTCTTTTAATCATTATATAGAAACCATTTTGTCTCTATAATCACTATCTTATTAGGTATGATAAAGAATGATTATTGGAGAAAAATCTTTATTATTACATAATAATTTTGTTATCATAGTTATCATTGAGAGGGATTTGAATTAATACATATTTTATTTTAATATATAATGACTATCTTAGAATATATTTGTGATATTTAAAGTTGTATTACAAATACCAATAAAAAATACTACTTTAATGTAGAAAATTAACTTTAATTAACGTTATTATGAACATATTAGACTTTAATAACTTTTTTATCTTAATTTCTAATTGAAGGTAATTATCAACCATTAAAGACTACTTATTATCATTTCACAATTAGATATTATCAAAGATTGAAGATTCTTATTAATGATCATTATTTATTTATTTTAATGCAGATTTTTATCACATTAAACATTTTGCTGATTAAAAAGAAAAGATTAAAAATTATGTATAATTCTTTCTCTTTTTATTTATTTATGTGACATTTGACGTGTTTAAAAGTAATAAAAGAAGATAACTATGCTTATACGATCGATCGACACGTAACAACTATTTCTTTTTCCCCTGAAAACTGATTGGTAACCACAAAATGATATCTTCAGCTAACATAAGTAGCACTTTGATTCCTAAGTATTTGTTTGGTTGGAGTGATTTGGGGATAAAAATGGGGAGTAGAAATTGAGGAATTTAAAAGAAAATGGAGAGAAAATTAAAGTTGTTTAGATAAATAGAAAGTGAAAAGAAAGTTTATAAAAAATTGTGATTGATTTGATTATATAGGATATAAAAATTATAATTTGAATTGATTATTTAAGAAAATTATTATTTTGTCCTTATATATAAAATAAGATTAAAATAATTATAAATATAATTTTTTAATTAATTATTCGTATTTTAATATTGATTATATATTTGAAAGAAAAAATAATATTTTTTTAATACTGTTTGTATGTGGAAAAATAATTTATAAAATTATAATTTTTTTAAATATTATTAAAAATTATATAAATAAATAATTACAAAATTATTTACCATGAGATCATAATGAAACAAGGAAAGACACTTTTATCTTTTACCTATATCTATGTGGTTTTCCTCTTTTTTCTTCCTACATAAAAGAGGAAAGAACTTAAACAGAGTCTCTCATCTTTCTCCTTTTCTTTCTTTACAAATCTATTTATTTAAATACAAATTCTTCTTCTTTTCTTTCCATATAAATAATCTTTATGTTATGGAATGTGACCGGGAGAATAACCTAACAGAATAATAGGCCTCACCATCATGCTCACACCAATTGTAAACACACAAATTTTCACATCAAACAACACAAATAAAGTGACAATAAATGGTAAAAAAAAAATCAGGCTTAAATCTTTTCCCTACACAATATGGGATAAGTTTATTTACTCTCTCAAATTTAAAATTTTTATTTTTCATATATTATAATTATACCATTTTAGTATCCACAAATCAGAACTGTATCAATTAAGCTAAAGCTAAGAATTATTTTAATTTTTTAAAATAGTTAACGAGTCCTAAAATTATATTAAAAAATCTTTTAAATTTAAAGGAGTACGAGCAAAGCTTCATTTAAGTATTTGTGTGCCCCAATTAAACATAGTAGGAAGCAATTAATGACATCATAAATCCCATTAAATAGTGTTAATTAAGGAAATGCAGTAAAAAAAAAAAAAAAAAAAAAAGAGAAATGGTGGCGATGGAAGGAGAATTATGCAAAGTGAAGTTGACTAGTAGTATTTATTAGCGATGAGATGACATACCGTTTACTTTGGAGTTGTTGTTGCTGCTTTCCCCGCAACTCACCTTTCCTCGATCACTGAATCTGGACGTTACTAAACCACGCACCAATTTTTCATTTTCATACCCAACGCGGAGAGGAATCAACCAAACACCGCCACCACGTTATCGCCTGCATCTAAACGGTCCGTTGTTTCACACTTTCCACGCAGTATGTTATGACCAACCTTTTTTCCTTTCTTATTTTGTTTCTCTTGTTCTGTTAAGATTCGTGCGTTTACGAGATTCTTCTGGTTACTTAATTTAATAATTCTTACTGCCGCAGTTTTTAATTAGAGATCCTGATCCGCGTTCGGGATTCCTTTTGAGGTTGCTTTTTGCTCCTGTTGTTTCTTCTGCTTTGAGAGTTTTTGCAATTTCATGATTTTTGTTTGCTTTGGAGCTCGAATCTGCTTTGAATTACTGTCTGTTGTTGAAAATAGTGTTGGATCTGATGAGATTGTGCTGTTCTGGTTTGGTTTCGCTTGGTATTGTTTTCTATTAGCTGAATCGTGTCGTTGAGGATTTAGGATTATGGTTGTAGTTAGTTGTAGTTCACTGTGTAAAATGTGCATATCGTGAACTTCAAAGTTTATTGTCCCTGTCGTTGTAAACTTGACTTATTTCTTTGTATTTTCTATTTTGTTTTTTGTTTCCCCCTTTTTTGGATGTTTTTTCCAATAAAACAAGAGTTTCTCATAAGAATCTCAGAATCAGTTGTTTTTAACTTTAAATATATCCATATCTATGTCTATATTTATGCATATAGTAGAAGATTCATCTGCTGCATATGTCATGTCAACACTGTGGACGGAAATATCAATGAAGTGTGGATAAGATTTTTCATATTTCTTGTTGATTTCCTTTGTTTTTAAGTCTCCTTGTATATTAATATAAACTCCTCCCACTGTTTATTTGGTTATGGTAGATTACATTTTGTTTCGTTCTCCTCTCTGTGAAATGTGGAGCAGCATGAAAATTTTATTCTATTTTTAGGAAATTAGGAATACGTGCTTCTTCTGATGATTTATTTTTCTGTACAGAGAAAGCTGTGCGATTCTGAAACTAGTGATTCATCTTATTACATGAAGGTAGAGCAGTGAGAAATTCAGTTTGTGTATTGGGAACTCTAGTTCAACATGTCTTCTGTAAGCAAGGGTGATAGGAAGGCTTCCCTTGATGCAGCATCGTGGTTGTTCAATGTGGTCACATCTGTGGGAATCATCCTTGTGAATAAGGCCCTGATGGCTACATATGGTTTCAGTTTTGGTATGGGCTCATATTGACTTTTCCCATTCCCTTTCTTGAATCTTTGATCTGCCATGCCTTTAATTCAAAAGATGCCGTTGCTTCTTTATCTATGTGTTGTTGAGATAAACTTCCTTATCTTGTGTATTCTTTCTGGTATCACACTTGTATGTATTTGAAAGAGTAAAGAAGGAGAAAGCTTTTTGGTACAATAAAATTGTGTGTTTTATGAGTGTAAACTCACTTTGATATTATCTGTTAGCATCATTCAGACTCTACTACTATAGTATCTGGGATTAGGTCATTGAAGATGAGGTTCAATTGTGCTAACTATAAAATGACCTAGTAGCTTGGAACTGAACTAGAAAAGATCCTATAGGGTGGGCATTTGACTTGGTGATTTGTGAGAAACTGTAATATAGAGACTTTGAATACTTTACTCCTGGCTTTAATTTCATGCTCTAAATATAGATGATGCATATAATTTAAGTTGATATGTGTTGATTGTGTCTACCTTTTATTGATGGTGTTCAGAATATAATTTTCCTAGGATTTGAAAGAAGCACTCAATATGTCTTGGTGGTAGTTGAATAGGGGACAAATTAAAATCACAGGTGCTGTAAGCAATACTATATTGTTCAGTAGAAGTGGTAGAAACAAAATCTGAGCAAAAGATATGCATTTAGATAACAAGCTGAGGTGGTACAGACTGCAAAATTTTAACTTTAGTGACGTGAAATCCAAAAATATGAGCAAAATCTGCAAAAAATAGCTTATCATAAAAGAAGTTAATTGTGATGTTCAAGATAGACATTCAAAGTTCGCACTAGGAAATTTCGCCTTTTCATACACATGTTTTTTGGTTTGGATAGATAACAGAAGTATTACCATTCATGTATCTCACAACTAAAAGCATTAACGTACTGAGAATAGTGTTGGATGATAGATTTAAAATCTCTTCCATTACTAGTCAAGCAAAGCATAATTTGGTTTATGGTTTCTTTTAATGTAACTTGTAAGGCTACAAATGATTGTATCCGAACTTATAGACCACTCCTGAATCCTGACATTCTGTATCATATAATGCTATTATGCAGCTACAACTTTAACTGGTCTGCATTTTGCCACGACAACTTTGTTGACACTCATTCTTAAATCGCTTGGATATATCCAGACCTCTCATCTTCCATTATCCGATATAATCAAATTTGTCTTATTTGCAAATTTCTCCATTGTTGGGATGAATGTGAGTTTAATGTGGAATTCTGTTGGTTTCTATCAGGTAACATTTAGGCTTTCAGCAACAATAACATTTTGAACTCTCTTTATAATAAAGACATATTTATAATAATTTTCCTTGGAATGAAATTGTCAGATTGCTAAGCTGAGCATGATTCCAGTATCTTGTTTCCTGGAGGTAGTCTTGGACAATGTACGATATTCAAGGGACACAAAGCTTAGTATTGTTTTGGTTTTGCTTGGTGTTGCTGTCTGTACAGTAACTGATGTCAGCGTCAATGCAAAGGGTTTCATAGCTGCTGTAATAGCAGTTTGGAGCACAGCCCTGCAACAGTATGTAAGTAACATATATTAACATAGAATCCTGAATCTTAGTTCGGAGATAGAAACCAATCAAATTGACTTTCATGTCATAAAGGCAGTTTTGCATTGGTAAATGTTTACTTTCTTGTACATGATACTTGTTGGCAACATTCATTCATGTGACAGTTAATTAGATTTGTTGTAGAACTTAAAATGACAAAGCGGGAAGCCAGCAATAATTTTTTTTTTCTGCATTTTTATCACAAGCAGCGTACTTTCAAGTACATGTAGAACAGACTTCAATAACTTGCTTTAGTTTCCGACACATCTAACTATTCTCAGGTTATTTGGGTTTGATGACCTCAGTCTTGTTGGGCTGATATCTAACATAACTTTTTGTGCAGTATGTCCATTATCTTCAGAGAAAGTATTCTATTGGGTCATTTAACTTGTTGGGCCATACTGCACCAGCACAGGCAGGAAGTTTACTGCTAGTCGGCCCCTTTCTGGACTATTGCTTGACAGGCAAACGAGTTGATGCCTATGGATATGGTTTGACATCCACGGTAAATTTTTGCTATTTCTTTTCTAGTTCTTTTTTTCTTCCTTTTAATATTTTGCAGTGAGTAGGGAAAGAAGAGGATACTTGCGAATTTATTTCTCTATCCGGTTTAGACTGCCTCATTTTTTTTTTTTGTGAGAAGTTCAAAGTAAATTTCAACTGTAAGGACTAATCCTGATTGCTATGTATTTCTTCTGGGTGAACTTTCAATTTGTAATATAATTTAATGTTCTACATATTGATTATCATAGAACTGAGTGCCAAATTCTGCTGCCTAAATTCAGAGGCTGCATAATGACATTGAAAAAGCATCCTTAGGTTGCATAAGACTAAGCCTAGTCTTAATCTTAACTAACTCATACTTAAACTGTCTCAGATTTAGTTTATAGGTCATCTAAGTATTGCTTGCAGCTAGAAGTTTTAGAAAGTTCCATCTCAAAACTCCAGATTTGCTGTTTAGGTTAATAGTGGTTGAAGTTCAATGTGTCATAAGAATCTAGATAACTTTCATTAATGCTTATCATTTTTCCTTTTAGAGGGAAAGATTGTTTTTAACAAATGTTTTCATTACTGTGCCCTTTTTATTACACCATTTAGCAGATATTTAGTTGACTTTGTAATTTTGCAACTAATAGCATCACTGTGAAAATTAAATGCATGTACATGTCTAATTTTTCTCTTCTTTCAAAATGGTTAGAGTAGAAAAGAAAACAATCCTGAATAGTGGCACTTAATTATTTCTAGATTTGGTGCAAGCTATTACTGCTTTGGTCTTTAACTAATCCTTTAATTTCATTTAGATACTGGATGTTTGGTTCTAAGTTCTTCATGTGACCAATCTAGTTTAAAATATAAACATGTTTTGAGCAATTTTGTTAAGAAAGATCCATCAGATATGTTAATCATGTAGGTTAGGAGGAAAAACTATATTTTTGAATCGGTACTTTTTTTTTTGGATTTTGTGTGAATGTTGAAGATTTTAATCAGATTTATATAATATTGTTTCAGTTGACCACTTTCACATTTTATATTATTGGAGACTTATATTTCATCCATCCCAATTTTTCATGCCTTTTACAGGTAAATCACATGTAGAAGGCATGAATAACTTTCTAACATCCATGCTTTTATCTCTATACTACTGGTGGAATCCGTATGCATGTAAAATGCGTGGAAAACCCACTACATCCATGTAAATTTGCTTGTATCACTATTTTGCTTAGCAATGACGTTTTTATTCATAAAAGTGGTGTATTCTTGACCAGTGGTCGGTACTCGTCAATAACTGGTTGCTCACTACACGCACAGAATTTGTGAGGGTGCCCATCCTTGGTCACCCTTAGAACCGAATGTTGTAGTTGTCATTTTGTATTTTAAAGGATTTGGATCCTATCCCTTTACCTTAGGAAAATAAAGTCATTTTTTAAGAAACAATTATTCTGTGGAGGGAGGGACCAACTGTTTTCTGTGTATGGACTGTGCACGTTTTGTTTGTCTTTCTGTGGAAAATTACACTGGCATTTTCCTAAAAAAGGGGAGAATCCAAATATGTACACACTTTATTTCTGCTTTATAAATACTGTACAGTTTATCTTTACTCAAGAAAATAATGACTACTGTGACTACTGGAACACTATTATTAAACTGAGCTGCTTGTGCTGTCTGCAGTTGTTCATCATTCTGTCTTGCACCATTGCAGTAGGGACAAACCTCAGTCAGTTCATCTGCATCGGTAGGTTCACGGCTGTATCATTCCAAGTCCTTGGTCACATGAAGACTATCTTGGTCCTGATCTTGGGATTCTTTTTCTTTGGAAAAGAGGGTCTCAATCTACATGTTGTTCTGGGCATGATCGTTGCAATAGCAGGAATGATCTGGTATGGCAATGCTTCTTCTAAGCCAGGGGGGAAAGAGCGTCGTAGCTTTTCCCTTCCCAAAACACAAGATTATAGTTCACTGCCTGTGTCCTCTGAACCAGATACGAAGGTATAGAAAATAATAAAAATTCACCTAGAGAGAAAGTGGTGCCCTTTAGGCGAGCTGGATTAATGTTCTTCATACCTGGAGTGAATTCTCAATTATTTATAGATCTTAGTCATATCTTTGTTTGTGTTAATGAATTGTTTGGGAGGGCCATGGGAGGAAAAAGCGTTTTTAAAGTAGGGAAATCTGCTTTATGTTCCATTTTTTCAAAACAGATAATGTTACTATTACTTTTATAGTAAAGTTTAATTCCATTTTTACCATTGGTGACGGTTCCACTGTTAACCTTCTGCTCAAGACAACTTCTAGCATCTTTGAATTGCATTCCTTTTATGTCGAACATACTTTTAAAGAATGATATTCTCTGTACCTAATACTCTAATAGTACTTTTGGATGCTTTGCAATGGTAACACAAACATGTTATATGTTATTTGGGTTCAAAGGGAATGTGTTGGGTTCAAATATAGGAATGTGTGTTGGTAGATGATCTATAATCGTTGTGATTCACTTCGGCTCCACCTTTGAATCAATAGAACATTTCGTAAATAAACAAGTATCAAATTCCTTTTCAAATGGATTGCTGTGCTAAAATAAGCAACAAGCAACAAGCAAGCAAACACTCAGTAAAGAAACCAGACATACAAGGAATAAACAGGAAATAAAATGTATTGCCTTGACCACTCGGGCAATGTGCATGGGACTAAATTACCTTGTAAGGCCAATAATACCTTGGTATCCAATTAGGTTTAAGTAAGAGGAATTTAATTCAGAAAATAAGAATAAGGCTTGCTATTATGTTTAATTTTCTCTCCAGTTAAAGTAAAATTTATGTGCGTGATAGGGAGAAATATATTAGGCACTCATTTGTCTGTAGGGAAAAAACAACAAGGCTTCAAGTAAGTTGTACCAGCGATTGGCAGAGCTACATAAAAGAGCATAGTAAATGCCTAACGTTATGTTAGGTGGGCTTCCCAGTAACGTAATCCTGAATAATTGAAGTTGCTTTCTGGAAGGTTTTTGTAGGATTCACTTGCCATGGTCCCAACAACAGCTAGATCTGCATATTTTACACAGCACTTTTGAGACAATGGGAAAGCAGGACCTGTAATAAAAGCCTGATTTTCTGAGACATGGGGAATGATGCATTCATGCAAAACAGTAAAAATTAGGTTAAAACTTGACATTTATGGCGTCACGTACCAGCACTTCTGTAGCTGCAGGTCAGCACCTGGCTAAAATATTTGGGTTTTTCCCCCTTCTACTATTCATTTCCACGTAAATTTTCAATGTAAATTGCCCACTGCGTGCTACTTACTACTTTCTCATACTTTTCAATTACTTTTACAGGATAATTTCGAGCTCTGGCTAAGAATTTTAAAAACATCTTTTTTTACTTCTCTTTTACAATACTTCAATCTTTTGACCTCAATTTTCTTATTGGCAACCTTTATTTTAATAAACTGAGTTTAATTATGGTGATACTTCTTTGATAGTAAGCTCCATTGATAGGAGAACATGTACTATGTTAGTTATTGTTTCGGTTGATGTGTAATATTAATACAATGATTAGAAAACACTTGTTTTTTCAGTAAATATTTAAAAAATAAATAAAACCTAATCCTAAAAATTTTGTTAGATATACACAGTTATTTTAACGTATACTTTTTCTGAAGAGTTTTCAACTAGTCTACTCATGCACATTTTTTCAAAAACAAAATAAAAGAACAAAACCAGTTCTCGGAATATGGGTATATTGACTTTTGTAGAGTATTGTTTATTATGAAAGATGTTGGATGATGGAGAAAATTTGTTGGTTGCTGAGGACAATATGGAGGAATCAAATGGGTGAATTCGTTAGAGTTACAGAATGATCACCAATGAGAAAGGCTATGCTTTCTGGGCTTATTATGTTTGTTGTTGTGATACTGTTCACTCAATGAGAATTCCCACTATCTCTATCTTCCGACCATGTCAATATTGAGAGAGAAACGTGTTTTTTATGTTTTCCAATGTACCATGTTCCCTAACTGTTTTCAAAGTAAAGCAAATTTATATTCTCTCCTTTTCTTAATACAAGACATAATATATCCAAACATTGCACTTCATATCTTAGTAATATTGTTTTAAAAATTGGATAAAATTATCTAATTAAACTAGTTTTATCACTTACACTAGTACAAACTAGGCTTTTAACATCGGTTCTAGAACCGATGTAGAAAGTCACACTTTCTAATATTTTTTTTATTTTATTTATTCATAACACATCTCTAATTACCCTATCTATTCATCTAGAGTTTCCTAGACTATCCTCTCCCTTTTATAACCCTTTTATATTATATTTTTATTATTTATATTTTTTAGGAATTTGAACTATTATCGGATTAAGAGAATTGTCATTGGCAAGATTCAAACCCAGCATCTTAGAGTCGGAGGTCGATACTCAACCACTAAGCTACCAGGATTTTTCGATAATAACTTATACATAAATTATATTTATATACAAATAAAAATGTATATCCATGTAAATATATAAATATAAAATATATAAATACAAATACAAATATATTTATATATTTATATGTTGGATGTGAGGACGCGCTCGAGGATGAAAGTGTGTGTCGAGTGAATTTTTAAAATTTGATGTCAAATTTGTGAGCGGGTCTCTTTATATGGATTATAACTTAATGACAAAATATAATCTTTATAATTTATTTATATAATGATATAAAATATATTTTTTTCTTTATTTTATATCATTATATAAATTAATTATAAAGATTATATTCTATATTATTATAAATAAATTATAAAGATTATATTCTATCATTAAATTACAAATTCATATAAAGAAACTTGCTCACAAATTTGACATCAAATTTTGAAAACCCACTTGACACACACTTTTACTCTCGAGCGCGCTCTCACATCCAACATATAAATATATAAATATATTTGTATTTGTATTTATATATTTTATATTTATATATTTACATGGATATACATTTTTATTTGTATATAAATATAATTTATGTATATGTTATTATCAGAAAATCTTGGTAGCTTAGTGGTTGGAGTATCAGCCTTCGACTTCAAGGTATTGGGTTTGAATCTTGCCAGTAACAATTTTTTTAATTTTATAAAAACACTTTCTACATCGGTTCATCTGGGAACCGATGTTGAAAGTCTTGAATTCACTTTCTACATCGGTTCTTAAAGAACCGATGTGGAAAGCTCCGATGTTAAAAGTGATTTACGTACTAGTGTTACAATTATGAAAGAAATATGTGTACGATGTTGTCTATGTTCTTCATAAAAAAAAAAACATTTTCTTGAACTAAAACCATTTAAATTTTTAATTTGCTAAGCATTAAACAATATATAAAACTAATTTTTAACCTTAATTTATTTGTTTCAGACCTAAAATATAATGATTATGTACTTATTTTTTTTTAAAACAAGTGTTTTTTTTTGTTTGAGAAAAGTATTGAAATAAATTTTATTAAAAATAATTTAAAATAATTATCAAATAATGTAATTTTTAAAATATACATGTCATCCTTCTAAAAAAAAGTCAAATACAAAACACCACTCTTTAATTGAAGTAGAGTTTATTATTAAATATGAGTTGTTTATTTTGAAATTTTCTTAAAAGACGTATAATGATATATATAAACTATTTTTGATCTCTACCCTAAACATGTGAGATTTATGAGTTTAACAAATCATAGTCCCACAAAGAAATAGAAGTGATATAAAACTCTTTATTTTTGGTCTCACGTTAGGCGTCAATGTTATGTCTAAAAACGAGAGTATCTTAGTCTCATATCCAATATAATAACATTTAGAATTCATTACCACATCTAAGGTTTGTCTGCTTCAGAACTCTAGTCACAATTTTGTTTTTAAAAGACACATCGATGGTTTAAAAGATGAGTTTGTATATAAACTGATCTTGCTCCTAAGAAATATCAGACTCGTGAATGTATACCAAAACACAATACCCCAATTATATACTAAGGGGGTAGAAGAACTAGTTAAAGAGTTTTTTACGTTACTCAATTCTCTTCAGACTAAAAAATAACTGATTTAAAAAAAATGTGGTGACATTTTTATAAATAAGAGACGCAAATTTTATATCGGCCCTGTGAGATTAGACGTAAAAGTCACATTATAATCTCACCCAGGGCTTCTTCTTCCTCCTACACGCGAGAGGTTTTAAGTGACGATGATGACAGTGACTATTCTAGCTCCTCTCAGGGTATATTTCGACCACAATGAGCGACGGAAACATCTACATCGTGCCCCATTTATGGTGGTTGATGTTTCTCTCCAATTGAATTCGAGTTATATAACATTTTTTGTATATTTGATGTTATTGTTCTATGTCTCCTCTTTTATGTTTAAATTGAATCCGTGATTGTTTTTAGGGATCTCAATCACGTCATTACACGAATGTCTCTATTGAATTTTTATTAAAATTGAATTGTTTGTAGTTTGTGATTATTTGTGTATTCATTTGAGTGCATTTACGATTTATACATTGCATTTTTATGATTTACGGTTTAGTTGTTTAAATACCACGTTTTTTGTTTTTTGTATATTATTTTCTTTTTAATATAAATTTGTGTTTGAATCTCTAAGAGTAACGAAAATTTATAACATAGGTAGGTATGTATTAGAGTTGGATGAATACACGTCGTCTTAGTGAAGAATACAAAAAGGGAGTTGAAGAATTTTTTAAATTTGTTTGTGAAAATGAAAAATCTATCAAAAGGACATATTATTGTCCATGCATTCCTTGTTTAAATCAAATTCGTCATGAGCTTGAGGATATATATGATCACTGTTTGTCTATGATATTGTTAAGAGTTATATAATATGGATATGACTTGGAGAAATATTAAACACCCTAACTATGTCAATAACAGAAAATTTTGAAGAATGGATGAATGATAATTTAGAGGACATGATATGTGACATTGGTGAAGAAAATTTAAGAAAGCACATC